CCCCAAAACCCCAAAACCCCAAATGATTGAATATTAGAGATTAGAAATAATAGAACAAAAATCCACTAAAAATACATTATATAAAATGTAAAGCTTAGATAAAATATCTTATGTTCAACCTCCAAATTGGAAGGAACTCCATCATGAATTAATGAAGGCGAATGGAGCCAATATTGATGAGCTTACCAATCTTAGATAAGATATCCATAAGCATGCTGAAGGTTAATATGAAGAAGTCAGAACTTCTGCATTGATAGTAGAATAATTAAAGAAATATGGATTGGATGAATCTAGCATTAGAAGAGTAGCTGTAACTGGGCTAGAAGTGAGTATCTAAGGTTCAAAAGCAGTCTCAGAAAATGATAGAGAAGGTCCAAAGATGATAGCAATCAGAGCTGATATGGATGCTCTCAAAATGCCTGAAAATAATAAGGAGATTCCTTATCACACAATCACAGAGTGGGCTCATATGTGTGGACATGATGGTCATGTGGCTATTCTTCTCGCGGCTGCTGAAGTACTTATAAAAAGCAGAGATAGAATTCCAGAAAACAAAACAGTGAAACTATTCTTTCAACCTGCAGAAGAAGGTGGAGCTGGAGCAAAAAGAATGGTTAATGATGGAGTCTTAGAAGGTGTCGAAGAAGTTTATGGTCTTCATAATTCCCCTTTGTGTCCTGCTGGAGAAATCAGAGTTAAATCTGGCACTATGATGGCTGGAGCTTGTGGGGTTAAAATTACAGTTAATGGAAAAGGAGGTCACGGTTTCATGCCTGAGAATGTGAATGATTGTGTATCAGCAGCATGCTATATTCACACTGAACTTCACACAATTAAATCAAGAATGATCGCAAGCAGTGAGAATTTCGTTTTAACAATTTGCACTATTAATGGTGGAACAGCAATGAATGTTTTCGCTGATTCCTGTGTGATGACTGGCACAATTAGATCATTTACTCCACAAGTAATGGATGCTGTAAGAGCTAAGGTAGTTTAAATTGCAGAAAATACAGCCAAATCATTTGGCTGTATTGCTGAGGTTTAATTCTAAGGAGATGATACTACTGCTCTGCCTGTTATTAACACAGAGATAGAGACAAATCATGTAATTAGGTTAGGCAAACAAATCTTTGGCGAGGATAAAGTTTCAGATAAAGGACTACCAATTGCAGGCAGTGAGGATTTCTCTTTCTTCTTGTAAGAGAGACCAGGTTGTTTCTTTGGTTTGGGAATGGCTGAAGCCACTAAATTCAACAGAATGAATCATACTTCTGATTACGACTTCAATGATTCCATAATTGCTAGTGGAGGTCTATTTTGGGTAAGATTAGTTGAGGACAGACTCAATACATAGATTATTCAATGATGAGCCTGAATCAAATGAATTATTCCTAGATTAAATAAAATTTCATAATTTTCTTAATGATCATGGGGTTTTGGGGTTTTGGGG